GCTCCCGCCTCTCTTCTTCTGCTGCTGCTTTTTCTTCTTCTTATTTGTGTTCTTATGGCACTTGGCAAACAACAATTTGGTGCATTACTGGCACCAACTGGATTGGAGTGGAATAACTACCAATCACTTCCTGTTTGTGCATCGGCATTTTAAAGGAAAAGTCCATTGTGGCATTGACAGGGGTGCTGGCGGTCAGGGCGAGGGGGCCCCTCAACATAAGGAGGCCGCAGGCGGCCATCGACCTATAGCTAATGGGAAAACTGCCACTGCCCCCACCCCCGCTCTCACAGAGGAGCGCTGCGGGATGGAGGGCGCAACCCCCCACCCACCTGCTCTCACGGAGGAGCGCTGCGGGACGGGTTAAAATAACATCCATATAGCTGGGGGTAGAGTGAAATCAGGCTGGGGCGGCACTAAATTAGCTGGAGGCGGCCACCACTTAAATTTGAATGCAGGAAAACCCTGTGGTAAAATCAAAAGTGGGTGTCCGTGAAGCAATAAAGAGTACCTAAAATAAGTCACCTTCTGTAGAGTCTAGTCCAAAAAGCTGCAGTACAAGTGACCGTCCACGAATTCCTGCAGATCAAAGAAAATCTACAAACATCCTCCGGCCTAATATAGGAGGAGAGCACGAGCCAAATGTCCACTGGATAATCCTCCCCATCACTGCTCCAGCTGCACTCTACAAGACAAAAAGTCAAACAAAACAAAACCAAAGTCAAGATTATTGTTGCTGATTTAAACCGATGAGTAATCAATACAATAACAAAAATCACCAATAAGAAAAGGATTAAAAGTGCACCTTTTCTTCTCTTATTTTTCTTTTTGCGGGCCACTTTCATTTCACTTTCCTCTTCCTTCTCTGGGTCCATATCGTCACTGCTGCCTAAAGCGTCTGCTTTGACTCCTACTGCAGACGAGATAACTTCCTCCACAGCACCCTGAGAAGCCTCCAGGCCGCAGAGTAACTTTACTAAAATAGAAGAGCTGTTTTCATGAGCATCAATAATTAAATATTTCACATGAAACTGTGACCGTACAAGCAGGACTTGCCTTCTTTTTCAATTGCATTTGCAACAGCCTTTTTCACCCTACCAGACTTCACAATGGCTGGGTCGGCATCAGCATAATCAGCAACAGTGACTGGAAAAGTGGTAATAAAATTCAGACCAGAGCATAAACTTAATATAGAATACAATAGATGGCGAGGTCGTTTCTAATGATCATTTGTTCTCTAAGTAATCGTTACAGCACTGCAATGCACCTAAATATCTTTAAACGCTCAATTCAGTTGAATAAACTAAGAAAAATGCATCATCTTCCGTGTTCTTAGCTGAGAAGACTTAGCTGCTAAAACCTAGCCTGCTAGCTAGCTTATCAGCTCACCTGATTCAGAGCAAACGTCTCCGGCCTTGAATTTCAGCCGTTTTCTGTTCCCTTTCTTGGGCATTTCGACACCAGTGAAATGTGAACGCTTAACGGGGCTGTGAGTCCTGCCATGGCGTTATGGCAAGCCGGGATAAAGAGAAATACAGAAAAATAACACGGAAATTGAAAAATGTTCCACCAGGGTCTTCAGCCATCATGGAATGACGTAGCTTTATGCAGATATCGCGAGAGGTAAACTCTCGTAGTTTCTTCTTCGGGAACTATCATTTGTTTTGTCGCACTAACGCCACCCTGTGGGTTTATCTGGGAGTTTATCCTCATTAAAATTAAAATTTACACACACATACACACAGTAGCTGGTAGGTTGCAAAAAACTCTGCGCTGATAACAGAAGTTATTGCAAAAATAGACATTTAGGCCACTGGAGGTAATTTCAACATTCCAAAATTGATCAGACACAGTTGGCTCTATAGCATTAAATCCAATTTAGGGTTCACCAAAAATTATTAAAAGTTGAATGTTTGTAACGATAAATTACCCACACTTGTATAGCGCCTTTCAGTCAGAGGACTCCAAAGAGCTTTACACTATTGTGTATCATTCATTCATTCATTCATTCACACCCTGGTGGTGATGAGCTTCAACGTAGCCAGCTGCCCTGGGGCACACTGACAGAGCTGAGGCTTCTGAGCACAAGTGCTGCCCTCATATCACCACCAGCAGGCCAGGTGTGTTAAGTGTGTTGCTCAAGGACACAACAACAGAATTCTCTGTCTGGATCCAGGATCAAAGCCACTCAACTTCCTGAGCTACTGCTGCCTCTAACCTTGATCACTAATAGCAATTGTGCTTTTATTTATGTTTGAGTATTTTGCAGACACTTTTACCCAAAGCAACAAACAGTTTTCAAGATACCTACGCAAGGAACTGCCCCAAAGTGCATGCTTGTAATCTTCAGGAGAAAATTCACATATTTGAATGAGGAAATTTAGAAATCCATGCAACAAGACTACAGCTGGCATTTGAATCTGCAACTTTATTGCTGCATGGCAACAGTGCTACCAACTGTGCCTTCATGCAACCAACAAAGAGGACAAAAACAGTGATTTTGCAAACATCTTTAACAACTTGTTTGCAGCTTGCAGACGTCACCTGACCCAGAAAGTGGATCACCTTCACTTTTCAGTGCTGGTGAATGACGCTCACTCAAGAAAGAGTTAAAAAATTAAACCGGCGCGCTTGTGTGTGTGTGTGTGTGTGTGTGTGTGTGTGTGTGTGTGTGTGTGTGTGTGTGTGTGTGTGTGTGTGTGTGTGTTCAAAACAGCCAATTTGGAGTTAAGAGTCTGTAAAATGCAGCTAAATGTGGCTCAGACAACAAAATGTTTACATTAAAGGCATTCATTGATGTTATTAATACATTACTAATCACATCATATCACAGCAAAACTGACTCATGAAAGGAAATTATAGAAGAAAGACAGAGGAAGGAAATGATATAATCATACTGTTGCATTAACAAAAGATTTTGCTCTGCATAAAGAGCAGCATGTGAAACTAAGAAACCCCATCTCTCTGAGGTAAAGTCCAAATTCATCACACAAAATAGCAGAAATCACAGATATGTACACAGTTGACTGATTCTTATACAGCTGCAGGGCAAGAGTGTTTTTGGAATTTTGCTTCATGTCTCAGAGAAAGAATCAGCTGCTCTGGAGCCACACGTGTGTCTTTGACTATGCTTGTCACTTTGGAGTAAAAAGACTCGATCCTGAGTGACATTTAAACTTCAGATAGATTATTTTAGTAATTGTCATGAAAACCTTTTGCAATAGGTATGGGGTTTTAACAGCAGGGGGAACAACAAGTGGAACAATTTTGAGCTGCTTGCATAAACTCTTCATAAAAACAAAAGTACTTTGCCTCTCACATTAGCTCAAATAACTTGAATATTCACTCCAACGTTCTTAAAATATAGTTTTACATACAAACCAATAGCTTGTTAGCTTGCTTTCTGATATCTGTTTACACCATGTTCAGACGGCAGTGCAACCAAAATCCACCAGAAACACCACCGGCACTTGAAGTAAATTGCTGCAAAAACAAAAGGCATAATGAAAAATATTATGTATTTAAACATGCAAGGCCAGGCAGCTTTATTTCTAAAATATTTCATACACAGAGTAAATTCAGTGTGATTTCAGGGTGCAAGACAAAGTTAAAACATAAGCCAGTAGATTTTAGAACCAAATTCTGAAATGTGTATTTAAAATTGGATTAAAAAAAAACTAATAAAAGAGGCAAAGTTAAAAGACTGCATGCAGCATAGGGTCAGCAAGGTCCTCTTGTTGAATAAATTAGGAAGAAAGACAAGATAAGCAATATGAGTAACCAAAAGTAAAGTGTGAAGTTTTCTTTGGCCCAAATGTTGCACTTTGTTTTATTCATTATCAGTCATATTTTTGTTTGATTAATTATTGGAACAACTGGATTAACCACACATATGTCCTGTATAAAACCTCTACAGTTTCTTCGTTTTTTGTAAAATAAGGACATGACTTGTTTTCGGTTTAAAGGATCATCCTCAAATATTCTAATTACATTTAGTCAGAGAGGTCAGGTGGTAAAACAATTATCTTTAATGCTGCAGATTTCCTATGAATTTAGTTCTTCTGAAATCCTGCAACAGGCACTGTGCTTCCTGTGTATCATTTCCGGTTTGGTCAAGCTGATGCTGCTGACTGTGTCCAATGAGCAGCCAGCTCAGGACTAATATGGAGATAATTAGTCATATTTCAGTCTTAAATGTAAATTCTGTCACTAGATTTTATTGCATTATTATTATTATTATTATTATTATTATTATTATTATTATTATTATTATTATTATTATTATTATTATTATTATTATTAATATTATTATTATTATTATTATCATCATCATTATTATTATTATTAATATTATTATTGATTTTTTAAATGTATTTTCACTAGAAATGTATATTTCAGTAATCCAGGCTGTAGATGCTTAAGCAGCTTTTTTATTTACAGAACATTTACAGTGACAACCGTACGTCAGTGAAGAGGGGGTTCATGCGGGAAGGACGTGTGTGTGTGTGTGTGTGTGTGTGTGTGTGTGTGTGTGTGTGTGTGTGTGTGTGTGTGTGTGTGTGTGTGTGTGTGTGTGTAAAGCGCAGAAGGCGGATGCAGACAAGATTCTCTCCTCTTCATCATCGGGAATAAGAACGCCTCTCGGATATTTTCCTCGGATTCTGATTTTCCCACATGCTCTGACATCCATCGCGCACGCGGGAACCACCCCTTCACATCTTTGAGCTGTCAATCATTTTCACGCTGGGAATTGTACATGTGAGTGCATGGCGCACCGGGCAGGGCGGATCTGCTCACTGGGGAGAAAAACGCCGGCCAATATGGATAAAAGGTCACCACTTGACTCCCTCTGATCAGGTATGGACGCTCACGCATCGGATGCATGGTATTGTAAAATGGGAATAAGGTGCGCATCCACTGGTTCTGGCGATGTGGCGTCGATCCGAGACGCATAATTAGGCCCTCTGATAATTTACTGTAACAGGTTTATTTATCCGGTTACTAACCGCCGCGTGCCCCTTTTCTCCACCCTGATAGCGACAGCGTCCTGATAGCGTTGGACGGACCGGGGAGCGGGGAAGATGATGTGCGAGGTGATGCCGACCATCAGCGAGGGAGACTCGGCTGGTCCGCCGAGAGGAACCGGCGGCGGAGTCCCGAACGGCTCGGAGCAGGAGGCCAACTTCGAGCAGCTGATGGTCAACATGCTGGACGAGAGAGACAAGCTTCTGGAGTCCCTCAGGGAGACGCAGGAGACACTCATCCAGTCCCAAACGAAGCTGCAGGGGGCGCTGCACGAGAGGGACATGCTCCAGCGGCAGATTAACGCCGCGCTTCCTCAGGTAAAGACCCTTCCTCCTTCTGACGTGCGGGTGATGACGGCATCTTCGGGGAAAATGCGTCTTTATCACCTGGTTATTTAACAAATGAAGATGACTTTTTATTTGATAATCTGCTGTCTTTACCTGGCACATGAGGTGGGGACAGGTGCTCTTCCTATAATACAATTTAAATAGATTAAATATGTTGAGCAGCAAGCTCATAACTAGAAATAAATGTGAAGATAGTGATGTTTGTCTGAGAAGATGAGTAGTTAGAAGGTGGGCTGAAGTGGGAGGAGATTATTCTGCTGAGGTCTGATGTTAACCTCCAGAGACAAGCATGAAGCCCACCTCAGTGGGAAATGACCTGGCGTGTGCATCTGTAGAAAGCTGCTCCTATATCTGGTTATGCTTCACTTTGTTAGGATCTGTCGACGTATTTGTTTGGGCGAAGAGAGCTGAGCTAGGGCTGCTGCAGCCACAGAGCATGACGAAAATGAATCCTCGGCACATTAAACTGTTAGCCTCTGACCCTTTGGTCTACATGCATGGCATGATGTCACAGGATGTGTGTGTGTGTGTGTGTGTGTGTGTGTGTGTGTGTGTGTGTGTGTGTGTGTGTGTGTGTGTTAAACAAACACAGCATGCAGGGATAAAAGCATGCTGACGATGACGCACTGCTGGCTGCAGCCTCTTGTGAAGGAAACATGGCTGCTTGTTAGTGCACATGGCCCTGGGTTGCTTGCTTCCACACATCTCTGTGCGTGCATGCGTATATATGCATTAGCGTACGCACATGTGTGTGGTGCTCTTGATCAGAGCTGCCATGCATGTCTTCTAATCCTTCATTGTGCAGACTATTTTTTCTGCTGCAGTGATACAAGCATTAGTTTTTTAGAGTGAAGGATGCTATGACAGGTGTGTGGTGCACACATGCTTTTCCTCTCAAAACCCCTCCGTGCACTCATGCATTCTCGCATGTCTAACACACCAGAGCAGAGAGAGGACACCATTGCAAACAGGAGAAGGGGCGATGCAAATGGAAAAATCTCAAAGCAAAATCTCACTTGGAACTGATTTGCTCGGCTTGAGGAACGGGGGTCGCGTCTGTTCTGGATGCATTGCAAAGTGCAGGGTGCAGCTAGCAATAATGTGTGGGAGGTGTGGAAAGGATAACATACTGTAGCTGATGTCTCAAGTTTGGGTGTGATGAATATATTAGAGCATTGCTGTAGCCGTTGGAGAGGCTTCTGACCCTGCTACTCTAAATGTGTCAGTGGTAATTAGGCTGCTGTTGCTCCGCCCGGGCGTTTCTTGTGAATTTATCTCCTCAGGTCAATAAAATATCACAGGTTTCGGTTGACTTACAGCTTTATGCTGCTGCTGTGACCCGTTAGCCAGCACACACAATGCTGTGTTTTCCAGTTTCCAGTTTTATTTTGGTTTAGCTTTGTTGCCACACTTAAGTGTGGGGTAATCAGTTCATTAATGATTTACCAAGGGGGACTATTAGACAGCTTCCCTTAATAAACAAATGAATCATCTTTTGAAAGCTGTATTTACTCGTTTCCAATACTGAATTTTTAGTTTGCTGATCTACATCGAAGTGCAACAAATATATTTTTTACAACACTCATTTTGGAACGGAGGTCAATGCTTTCATTTCTGCCCTGCTATAAGAGCATCAAACATGCCATTTCCACCGTACCAGTGTACGTGTGTGTGTGTGTGTGTGTGTGTGTGTGTGTGTGTGTGTTTGTGTGCTTTGTCCTCTGCTCCTGACTCAGTACTAGTTTGACCCAGAACTGTCAGATCCATGTGTCTCCTTCAAAGATGTGAACTCTAGCTTACAAACACATAAACAAACAGGAAGAAAGACTCTGAATGTTGCCTCCTATAGAAAACTATGCATAAACCTCCGTCTATCATAACCAATGTTATCACGAAAATCTGACATTTTTACTCACACACACACACACACACACACACACACACACACACACACACACACACACACACACACACACACACACACACACACACACACACACACACACACGCGCACACACACACACACACACACACACACACACACACACACACACACACACACAGATATGAAGGAATATGTTCGTTAGCTGCAGAGAGTTTCAGATTAACATGTCAGTCCAGTTAAAGCCTATAATGCAACCTTAAGAGACCGACAAATTAGTTTTGAAACACACACACACACGCACACACACACACACACACACACATACACACACACACATACATACACATCTGCATCAAGCACATTGTCCCATTTTGGCGTGAAGAAAGCTGTTCTGACGCTGTCAAAGGAACTGTGTTGTAAAGCAGTGTTGTGTGTGTGTGTGTGTGTGCAACAAACAGAGCAGATTTTGGGTGAACAGCATGTTTCCTCAAAGCAGGTCACTCCACTTCTTCATCACAGTTTTTACAGTGCAGGTTTGTGAGTCTGGTCTCAATGTCATGCATCATCACTTTCAAATGTGCAATTTTTGTAATTATTTTAATAAGTTATAATTTACAAAATACATACAGAACATTACTGCTCCGTATGTACAATTTAAACACATCTTTAGCTCAAAGTAATCCAACTTTTTGAAGGAAGAGTCACGTGTATTAAAGTGGGACATGAGTTCGATGATCATGTGTGTGTGTGTGGACACCTGTTCCAGTCAGACGCAACACTGGCTATTTTTGCCAGTGTACAAATGCACACACACACACACACACACACACACACACACACACACACACACACACACACACACACACACACACACACACACACACACATCAATGGACCGAGGTCACACGACTGACTTAATTGTATGTGCAAAAGTTTCCACCTACCCCATGAACATAAATCCGTTTTCAACAGTTGAATTTTCTACATTTCCTATCTTTACCTTCCATTCTCTATGGCTCTTTTCTAAACACTAAAGATTTTTTTTTAGCTTTAAGCTACTTTTTTACCACAATGTGTTTAGAAAAGAACCAAGCAATGGAATTTAATGGATGCCACAGAGCAAACATACAAAACAAGTTCCTGTCTTTACTAGAAGATCACATAAATGTTCTTTTTTTCTTCCAGTCTGTAAACCCAACAGTCCACCAACAGTTCCCTCACCCTCACCACAGTGCCTCACCACTGCAGCTGTGCACTGACCACACCAACACGCAGAGCGATCTGAAAAAATGTTTCATACTTGCTTTTAAACCAAACACACAAGAGTCTAAAGCACATTGTCACATATTAGACCAGTCCTTCTGGTAAGAACAGGAAACACATCAGGACTCTGCACCAGTAAAACTCAAGAAGAAGACTGTTAATCACCTGCTGATTAAAATCAGGTGTGTTGGAGCAGAGAAACCCCTAAAACATCCTGGATACTAGCCAGTCAAATTTTCATATGTATGTGGTAACTGTTCTGACCAAACTGCAGAACTGTATGATGGGGTTTCATGTCAAACCAAACATATCATCTAAATAAGAATTTGGATATTTTTGTGAATAACTCAATTTAAAAATGGTGTAGTAGACACTGTAGGCTTAAAGGCACACTTGGCAGTTTTGGCTTGCATTTAGCATCCCCTAGTGTTGGTTTAGCAGAACAAAAACTGAAAAGTATCTCCTTGCTGTGCGTTTGTCTTTTTAATACCTTCATCTAACAGTTTAAATGTCTCCCCAGCCTTCATTAGTGTCTACAGGAACAATTCATTACTAAATTAAATAAATCAGCCGTGTTCATGATCTAAAACATGCAGAAAACGTGCTGGAACCAGACTCCAGCGCCAGCTATTTCAGCCAAATTTTTAAGTCCACAGGTGGCGGCCCGCCACTCTGAAGTTGCAAGTGCAATAATCTGACCACAGGGGGGCGGTGAGGGTCTGAAACACATTTCATAAACCCTGTAAAGGGTCGTTTTAGCACATATTTTGGCTCAAAAACCTGATTTAAAAATATGAAAAAGTTGCATATTATCACTTTAGCTATAAACCTTAAAGGGATCATCCTTGGCTTCTAGAGCAACAATAGGTATAATAAATGATTTTTTACCACAGATGTTTTACATTTTTGAAATTTGACCCTTTTGTTTCAATCACAAAGTCGTCAGTTCAGAAAATAATTGAAAATTGGAGGATTAAATATGTGAATGGATGCCAGTAAAATGTGTTACACGCTCCTAGCTGATTTCTTTTCCAATTTCATAACCACAGGCAGAGATTCCAGATTTTAGGCATTTCCATAATTCTGTGATCTTCTGAGCTCTGGTGATCTATTTAGTCAACTAATTTTCATATTAACCACTTTAAACTGTAGAGTGGCTTAAGACAAACATTTTGATGGGTAATACACTTTCCTATGACAATCCAGTCAAGAGTAATGTCAGTTTGGATTTCCTCTACCCTAAAACCAGCCACAGCAAAATTTGAAGCCACAAAAAATGCCCCAAAAGAGGTATTGAGTCCCTATAGTGTCTATGGCGACATGAAAAATGTGAAAATACTACATCAAATACTACAACATGCATGCATTTTCATCTTTTTTGGGGGTGGGTGGGTGGGTGGGGGTGGGGGGTGCAAGGTGAGCCTACTCAGCCATGGACTATGATCAAATGTTACTGTTGACACTATTGAGAAGTCATTTTTAATGGAAGTTATTTTTGTGAGCTGTTTCAAAAATCAGAAGCTTGGATTTGATTAAATCTCAACTTCATCCGTGTGAATTTTATTTATTTATAAACTTATTATTTTACGCGGATAAGTTGCTTGAGATGTAACATCTCGTTTTCAAGCGGGTCCTCTTTGCATACATCCTACAGGACAAGAAAGAACAAGATAACAGAGTTAAAAAAAAAGAATAATTCCACAATAGTACACAGCTGCAGACCCAGAGACTACAGATTCACTCCGATATTTTAAAACTCTCACGTCTGTGCTAATATTTGGGTCAGCTAATACTTACCACATTACTTCGTCAAGACCAGCAC